CCACCTCCTTGCTGTGTCTTCCTTATTCTCATCTCCCTCACACTCTTTCCTTCTCCATCCACACCCCCACTGCCTGTCCACACGGACACATCTTTCCTCTGTCCACACCACCTACCCACACTAACCCCTCCTTGCCATCCCACCCTCTTCACTCCATCCCATCATAGGCCATCGACCGCAGCTCTACCCGAACCTCTTCCTACCTCGAGAGCTCCTCCTCCGCCCCACCAGCCACCCAGCCGAGACCCACTGTGCCGAAGGTAGTGGGAAGCAGGGGTGGGTGGCGCAGTTTTGGCCTGGGCCCGGCAAAGGGGTCCAGAGCTCCCATCCCCTGAGCCCAGCAGGGTCTGGAGAGCCCCGGGAAAGGGCACATCTGACTCCTGCCCCCTCTCTCTTGCATGGCCTCCTGCTGCTCTAACCCCCAGCCCTCCAGCTTCATCCTCCCCCTTCATGCTCTCCGAGGGGGTTGGGGCGGCCCCCCCTGCTCTCTGTGACCCCTGCCCCTGCCCCTGCCTCCAGCTGCTTCACGAGGAGCTGGCTCTGCAGTGGGTGGTGAGCGGCAGTGCCGTGCGTGAGGCCGTCCTGCAGCACGCCTGGTTCTTCTTCCAGCTCATGGTGAGACACCTCCTCGAGAGCAAGACGCCCCAGGGGAGACTCGCCCTGGGAGGGAAGCCCCCTGAGATTTTGCCTGACCCCTGAGAAATGGCTTCGAGACCCCCCATATAGGGACAGAGATAAGAGACCCCTAAAGGGATCGTTCCCTGGAAAGAGGCCCCGTAAACTCCCTCCATAGAGAAGGCCCTCCCCCACCTTCCTGTGGGGCTGTCAGCAGAAGTCCCTAACCAGTGGGGAGACACCCCCACCCCAAGAGATACCCCCAGACAGAGAAGGAAACCCCTGTGGAACTCAAGACCCCTCCTGACTCCAAGCCCCACCCCCAGTCAGGTGGGCCTTCAGAGTCCCACTCAGGGCTCCCTCAACCCACCCCTCAAGCCCTGTGCTCCCCAGACCTTACCCCAGGAGACCTGCTTCAGCCCCTCCCACGGGCTCAGCCTCAGACCCACTCGGGCTCTGCCCATGGCCTTCTCGAGTCCTCCCCACGGCCTCAGGCCCTGCCCTCAGCTCAGAGCTATGATGGGGCTCAAGCCCCACCCAGGACCCCTCACGCCCACCTTTACCTCCCCTCCCCTGCTGCTAAAATGCCATTTGCAGCTCCTCAAGCCCCACCCCCACTTGGCGAGCCCCTTCTGCCCACGGCCCCTCAAGCTCTCACCGGCCCCCACCCGGCCCCCAGGTGAAAAGCATGGCCCTGCACCTGATTCTGAGCCAGCGGCTGGACTCGCCCCGTAAGCTTCGCTTCCCCGTGCGTTTCCTGGATGACATCGCGGCCCTGGTGGGCTCTGTGGGCCTGGAGGTCATCACCCGGGCCCACAAGGTAAAGGCGAAGGGGCCTCCGTGGGGGAGGGGCTTGGGGCACCAGTCCCATTTGCTGGATGGGTCTGTTCGTGCACTGTCATTTCTTTCTTTTTTTTTTTTTTTAATGTATTTGTATTGATTTCAGAGAGGAAGGGAGAGGGAGAGAGATAGAAACATCAATGATGAGAGAGAGTCATTAATCAGCTGCCTCCTGCACACCCCCTACTGGGGATTGAGCCCGCAACCCGAGCGTGTGCCCTTGACTGGAATCGAACCCGGGACCCTTCAGTCTGCAGGCTGACGCTCTATCCACAGAGCCAAACCAGCCAGGGCCAATGTCATTTCTTAATGACCTACTGTGTGCACATGCCTGTGCTGGGCTCTAGAGACACAGCAGTGAACAAAACAGATGCCAATCCTTGCCCTCATGGCGCTATGAGGGAGAGATTGAAGGAGTGAGGGGGCAATCTATTTGACGTCTGGGGGAAGAGCGTTTCCAGCAGGGGGAATAGCAAGTGAAAAGGCCATGAGGTAGGACGGTGCCTGGGCTGTTGGAGGAGCAATGAAGTGGTGGGTGTGGCTGGAACAGAGGGAGCAAATCAGGAACGGGAGTTGGAGAAGGCAGAGAAGTGACGGATCCATGAGCCCTTACCACAGTGTCTGTATACAGTAAGTGCTCAATCGTGGGCATTAGTGATCTGAGACCTTGACACCTGTCCAGGCCCTGGGTCCCTAGTTCCCATGCCCTCAGGAGCTAGGTGGGTAATACTAATGACAGTCATCTTGAGCCTTTATTGAGCACTTACTGTGTATCTAACACTTGAGATGAAGCACATGATTAAATTCTCCCAGCAGCCCCATAAAGTTTGTATTATTATCTCCATTTTACTGATGGAGAAATGGGCAGAGAATGACTAACAACCTGCCACCACACACCCGAGAAGGGCAGAATTGGGGATCGGATCCCAAGCCACCGGGTCCAGAGCCCACACCCTTATCATCAGCTTCAGTTGGGCAAGCGGGCGTGTGCTCAGTCGCTGTGGCCAGAATGTCTCATTTGACCAGAATGTCTCATTTGAAAAGTGCAATGGGGCTTCTGGATTTGATGGGAACTTTCCAGATTTTTGAAACACCAGCCTGGCCCGAGCCAGCCCTTGTGCAATCCCTTGCGACCTCTGGGCTGGTCTCGAAGGTCTCGACCTTGTTCCACTGGAGCCTCCCCTAAGCACTGACATTCCCAGGGGCTGACCCAGATGATGAGGAAACCGCCCTGGGAAAGGGTTGCAGGGCAGAACAATGCCCCTGAGAAGCGCCGTCGGCACGGCTGCTAGTGGGGCATCGGTGACGGCCACAGTGGTCTCACGCATGGCGCTCAGGGAGCCAGGCAGACCCAGCCCCTGCCCCACGGCGGGCTCAGAGCCCCAGCAGGTTTGTGTTGTGTTGCTTTGGGTTGCAGGGGACTAAGAGCCACAGAGGCCGACTTGTGAGGCCGGAGTGGCTGGTGAGAGCCTGAGGGCTTCTCTCAAAACAGCACCCCGTTCAGTTGTCTTCGACACATGGAATTGTCTGAGGTCCTTTGGTTTATTGTGGTTCCCCCACGGGAAGCTGAGCGCTGTACAAGCAGTCCATGCTCATTATATCAGTTAGGGCAGAGGTTAATTTGCTCAAACATAATCACAAGTGGATTAAATGTGCCCCGAGTTTATTTCTGAGCATAAGTGGGCCGTGGGGGCTCCATAGTGTGGGCCTGGCGCCCCCACATCAGGCACCTGGCGGGCTGTGGGAGCAGGAAGACCTGGCCACAGTCCTTCCCCTCATCCCATTGGCCAGAATGTGACTCGATCACATGGTTATTCTCAGCTGCAAGGAAGGCTGGGAAATCCAGTCTTGACTGCTCTCTGAACTCACACCCTGAGAGATGGGAAGGAGGATCCCGGGGGAAGTCAGCAGCCAGTTTCCGCCATCCATGTTGTTATTTAAATCTGGGGAGAGAGGAAAGAAAATCCGTCCTAACCCGTGCCCTGAGGGGTGTGGGCCTGTACGTGTGGGGAAGGGCGGGCTGGTCCAAGGGCGGAGACAACCAGGAAGGCCTGGAGTGCCCAGAGGGCAGGGGTGGGGGGGGGGGGGGTGTTAAGAAGACCCCGGCTCTGGGACAGCGATGTGGCTCCCGGAGTCGCTGGCGGCCTTGGTGAGAGCCGGGCCCTGGGTGGGGACTCAGCGTGCTGGGAGTGAGCGTGGCTGACGGGCCCTGTGTCCCCAGGACGTGGAGCAGGCCGAGCGCCTCAACATCAGCCTGGCCTTCTTCCTCAGCGACCTGCTGTCCCTGGCGGACCGCGGCTTCGTGTTCAGCCTGGTCCGGGCCCACTACAAGCAGGTGGGAGTGGCGCGCCCTCCCACGGGCGACACGGGGGGCGGTGGGCAGAGAGACTGTAATGTTGCCCACCGGCCCCTCTCCGGCAGGTGGCCACGCGGCTGCAGTCGGCCCCCAACCCAGTGGCGCTGCTGACCCTGCGATTGGACTTCACCCGCATCCTGTGCAGCCACGAGCACTATGTGACCCTCAACCTCCCCTGCTGCCCGCTGTCGCCCCCGGCCTCACCCTCCCCCTCCGTGTCCTCCACCACCTCGCAGGTGGGCCGGCCGCACTTCTGGCTCCTCCCTTGACCTATGACCTCTCACCTTCAACCTGTCTTCTGGGGCTCCCCTCGTCTTTGTCCTTTTCAGGGTGGGCCACTGTCCAGGGGGACCATCCCCTTACCTCTGACCCTTCACCTCTAACCCCTCATGCCCGGCACTTTCCTAGGGACCAGGTTCTAATTTCTCACCCCTGAATCTGAACTCACAGACCTGCCTTCCATCTGCCGTTTCTCAGACCTCTGACTTTTGACCCCATTCCCTTCACCTCGCAGGTTCACCTGATTCTCTTACCTCTGACCCTGAACTGTGCTCCCTGTCGCCTCCAGATAATTCCAGTCTCTCACCTCTTAACCTTAACTTCAGATGAGTTCACCCTAGCCCCTCCCCTCCGCCCCCTGGCCCCTGGTGACGTCCTGCTTCCTCCCGCTCCCTTCACCCTCTGCAGAGCTCCACCTTCTCCAGCCAAGCCCCCGACCCCAAGGTGGTCAGCATGTTTGAGCTGAGTGGGCCATTCCGACAGCAGCACTTCCTGGCTGGGCTCCTGCTGACGGAACTGGCGCTGGCCCTGGAGCCTGAGGCCGAGGGGTGAGCGCAGGCCGTTTGGCTGCAGCGGGTGGAAAGGTCCAGGCACTACGTCTACTCTCTCCTGAGCACCCCACTACTCCACAGGGCATCCCAGCTGCACAAGAAGGTCATCAGTGCCGTCCACAACCTGCTCTGTGGCCATGATGTTGACCCCCGTTACGCCGAGGCCACAGTGAAGGCCCGGGTGGCCGAGCTGTACCTACCGCTGCTGTCGATCGTCCGGGACACGCTGCCACGGCTGCATGATTTCGCTGGTCAGTGGGCCAGGCAGTCGGAGTCACACAATCCAAGCGTTCGATGGACACATACGGCTCAGGTTGGGGAGGGTGGGAGAGCACAGTTAGGAGCAAAAACATGGCGTTAGGGTCCATAGATTGGGTTCAAGTGCTGGTGCAGGGCCCTCCAAGCCATTAACCTCTGAGCCTCAGGCTTCTCACCTGTAAAATGGGGACAGTGGCGGCGCTAACTACTTCCTATAGTTACGTAAACATCTGCAGAGCTTTAGCACTGGGACATTGTCAGCCCACAGTAGATGGGAGATATGATTATAACATTTATCAGCTTCTGAGAAGAAAGGATGTGAGGACGAAGGTGGGGAACATTGGGGCCAGAGGCAGTTGCAGCCCCGCGTTCAGTCATTCACTCATGGCACATTCACTGGCACTACTTAGGGACAGGTACACCGTGGTGGGCAGCACAGACTTGGGATTTGTGGATTGGTCCCCTCCATCATTGGGAGGAAATTCTTCGTCTTTATTTCTAACTCTTTTATCTGCCTTGTTTTCTTGCTTTCTTTCTGGGACTTCAGTTACACGTAGGTTGGACCTTTGGATCCTGTCACACGTGCCTGCCATGCTCTGTTCTGTTTCCCATTCTTTTTTCTCTCTGTGCTTCCCTTGGGGAATTTTCTGTTCACCTGTCTTTGAGTTCACTACTTCTGTCTTCTGCTGTATCCAGGCCTCTGTTAGCCCCAGCTATTGAGTTCTGAATTCCAGGTGTTATATTTTTTCAGTAGGAAGATGTCTATTTTATTTTATTTTATTTTTGTAGATTTCAATTCTCTGTTGAAATTCTCCATGTTCTTACCCCTTTTAGTCCATCGTTTCCACTACTTTTTATTTTAAGAACTGCGTTTGCTTTTGGTCATCGACGGGCCTCCTTCTGCTGTCTCGTCTCTCTTATCAATCCGTTCCCTGCCTTTTCACATACCTTGTAGCTTTTTAGCGTATTTTGGACATTGTATATAAAAGAACCACCAGGACTGGAGCGATGTCATTTTTCCCTAGTGAGGTTTCCTCTTCCCCTCTCGTAGCAGATGAGTTAGGGGCTGATCACCCCAATCCAGCCGGGCTGGAGCGATAGTGAGGCTCAGTTGACCTTTTGTTTCAAGAATCTCTAGGGTGAGACCTGTCTGTTGGCTGCTCCTCTCTCTGGTGAGACTTTTTTGGGGAAAGGGGAAGGGGAAGGGCTACTCTTAAAAGATCGTAGATTTTTAGAACCAGACCATTTAGATTATAATCAGCTTTACTATGTACCAACCTACTGCGTGACCCCAGGCAAGTAACGTCACCTCTACAGAGAGGTTAGCCTCAATTCCCTCATCTACAAAGTCGGAATGATGAAAGTCCTTCTCTCGTAGGTGTGTTTTTTTAAGATCCGTAGTTAATATTGTTTAAGTTAGACTAGCACCTGGCACATAGGAGATGCTGTGTCAGTGCCAATTGATGCTATAATAATAGCAGCAGCCTATGTTGTTGTCATCACCACCATCATCTTTACAGTTACCGCTCCCGTGGGCCAGGCCGTGTCCTGAGTGTTGAGCATATAGCGGTGGCCAGAGTAGATTTAGTCCCTGCCTCTGTGGACACAATGAATGTACCTGCTTACAAGTACAATAAGTGAGCTCTGGGGGTAGATAGCTGGAGACTGGTCTGGGGGGTGGTATCAAGGAGGGCTTCCATGAGGCGGTGACCTGTGAGCTGAAATTTGAGGCAGAGGGACAGCACTTACCAGGACTCCTTCTTCTCTCCCCCTGCTCCTACCCCCAGAGGGCCCGGGTCAACGGTCAAGGCTGGCTTCCATGCTCGACTCAGACACAGAAGGGGACGGGGACTTTGGAGGCACCATCAACCCCTCAGTGGCCATGGCCATTGCTGGTGGGCCCCTGGCCCCTGGCTCCCGGGCCAGCATCTCCCAGGGCTCAGCGACTGTGAGTATGGGGCTGGTCTCTAGAGACACTATCCCACCTGGTAATAGAAGTTATGTAACGAGATTCAAATCAGCCCGTTCTCATCTTATTTGGAGAAAAGGAGCATCAACTCTGTCCCTTCTGAGCCCCGTCCCCTCTCTGGCCCCAGGGCTCTCGCTCCGGCTGCCCTCTCTCTGCCGAGTCCAGCCGGACCCTGCTGGTGTGTGTGCTGTGGGTGCTGAAGAATGCAGAGCCAGCCCTCCTGCAGCACTGGGCTGCCGACCTGGCCCTCCCTCAGCTGGGTCGTCTCTTGGACCTGCTGTACCTCTGCCTGGCTGCCTTCGAGTACAAGGTCTGGGGCGCGGGCAGGGGATTGGAGGGTAGGAGGCAGGCCGAGTATGCATACAGAGCTCTCGGTGCTGTGGTCTGGGCACGAAGGGGTGGACTGTCCTCGTGCCCCAGTTCCTGAGGGTAAAGGGGTGGACTGTTTCTGTGCTGAGCCCAAGGAAAAAGGGAGAATTGTTCTCGTGAATAGAATTTGGAAGGTGCTGAGAGTTGGCAGTAAAGCAGAGAGCTGTGGCCCTAACCGGTTTGGCTCAGTGGATAGAGCGTCGGCCTGCGGACTGAAGGGTCCCGGGTTCGATTCCAGTCAAGGGCATGTACCTTGGTTGCGGGCACATCCCCAGTAGGGGGTGTGCAAGAGGCAGCTGATTGATGTTTCTCTCTCATCGATGTTCCTAACTCTCTATCCCTCTCCCCTCCTCTCTGTAAAAAATCAATAAAATATATTTTTTAAAAAAGAAGAAGAAGAAAAAGCAGAGAGCTGTGTCTTTAAGCACAGGGTCCCAGAGGTCGGAAAGGGCCGGGAGAAGCGGAACCGGGTGAGCCCAGGTCCCATGGGAAAGGGCAGTCAGCCTGGAGCCCGTTCTTTGACCTCCCAGGGGAAAAAGGCCTTTGAGCGCATCAACAGCCTCACATTCAAGAAGTCCCTGGACATGAAGGCTCGACTGGAGGAAGCCATCTTGGGCACCATTGGAGCACGACAAGAGATGGTGCGACGGAGCCGTGGTGAGAGGAAGACGTACCCCACGCCCGTTCCCACCAGCTGCTCTCACCCTGTGTCCGAGGGGCCCCAAGTGGGCCCGTCCCTACCTCTCTGTCCGACTCACTCTTCCCAGAAATCCATGCATCATCCCCGTGCACATGGGTATCCGTGTCCCCGTCTGTTCTCACAAGTCATTCAGGCCTAACTGTGTGTCCACTCGGCAAGCACCCGTACCACCCGTGTCCTCACAGGTTAGCCCACCTGGGTATCCTGGTGCCTGTGTGTTTCTCAGTCGTGTGTGTCCTTATGTTTTTGCACGTCTGTGAACATGTGCCTGCCCACCTCAGAGAGGAGCCCGTTTGGGAACCAGGAGAACGTACGCTGGCGGAAGAGCATCACACACTGGAAGCAGACCTCGGACCGTGTGGACAAGTAGGTGTTGGCCAGACGTAGACCAGTTTCCAGAGAACTGGCACCGCAGGCGCCTGAGGGAGGCGGTGAGCTGAGCCGTAGGGTAGGGTCTGGCTTCCAGAGGCTCCCCAGCCCCCTCCTCTCTCCTTCAGGACCAAGGATGAAATGGAGCAGGAGGCCTTGGTGGAAGGGAACCTGGCCACCGAGGTGAGCCTGGTAGTTCTGGACACGCTGGAGATCATCGTGCAGGTGAGGTTGGACCCAGCACCTTCCTGACCTCCGACCCGCCCCAGTGCCTTGTGACCTCGGACTCCAGAACCCCTCTCCGTTCCTGATTCCACAACCAAGCCAGTCCCTAACCGCTGGGTTTCTGACCCCGCAGACGGTGATCCTGTCCGAGGCCCGGGAGAGTGTCTTGGGTGCGGTGCTGAAGGTGGTGCTGTATAGCCTGGGTAGCTCCCAGAGCGCCCTCTTCCTGCAGCACGGCCTGGCCACGCAGCGGTCCCTGGTGTCCAAGGTGAGCAGCCGCGGCTCTTAGTCATAGTGACCGCCAGTCGCTGAGCACCTACTGTGTATTCAGCAACGGCATGAGGCAGACGCTCCTTAGCCACAGTTGACAGAGGAGAGAACTGAGGATGGGGGTGGCCAAGGCACTCACCCAGTGTCACACCGCAAGGGCCTAGCCCAGGTTTGACTCCCAAGCCTGCTGTGCATGGCCAGGAAGGCAGAGCACAGACGGGCGCCCCCGCCCCGGTCCCCACGGGGGACCTACTGATCGGGCATGGGGAGGGGCTGACCAGTGTCTGTCTTGGCCCTGGGGGGCAGTTCCCAGAGCTGCTGTTCGAGGAGGACACGGAGCTGTGCGCCGACCTCTGCTTGCGGCTCCTGCGACACTGCGGCAGCCGCATCAGCACCATCCGCACGCACGCCAGCGCCTCCCTCTACCTCCTCATGCGCCAGAATTTCGAGATCGGCCATGTAAGTGGGGGCGGCCGCCCGGGGTGGGGGGTGACAGATGGAGGGTGGGCAGGGAGAGGGGTGAAGTGAGCCCGTCGAGCAGGCCCTGGTGGGAGGGTCCGAGGCCCACAGGTGCGCTCTCCCCCGCTGCCCCCACAGAACTTTGCCCGAGTGAAGATGCAAGTGACCATGTCACTGTCGTCCCTGGTGGGGACGACGCCGAACTTCAGTGAGGAGCACCTGCGACGGTCACTCAAGACCATCCTCACCTACGCCGAGGAGGACGTGGGGCTGCGAGACAGCACTTTCGCCGAGCAGGTGACCCCGCCAGGCCCCTGCCCTGTCCACAACTACCAGGCTCCCCTCGGTTGCCAGGGTCTTTGCCTTGGAGTCCTGACCCCACCGCCTTGGCCCTGTCACTTCCCAATGAGGCGCACTTCCCACTCCAGGTCCAGGACCTGATGTTCAACCTGCACATGATCCTGACGGACACCGTGAAGATGAAGGAGCATCAGGAGGACCCCGAGATGCTCATTGACCTCATGTACAGGTGAGGAGAGCTCAGGGGACCTTCAGCCATTCACGCTTGGGCAGATGAGTAGATACATGAGAAAGCAAGGGGAGAGCAGGTGAACATGCAGGTGACAAGAGGGACAAGTAAGGAGGGACAGGGGGAGGGCCAGGAGAGCAGGCAGATGGGGAAAATCAGCTGAGCGAGGGGACAGGTAAGCAGACAGGTGAGGCTACAAGTCAGGTGAGGGCTCATAAATGAACCGATGAGGAGGGTGCCCGATGGACCTACAGAACAAGGTCAAGAGGGGACGGGTGGGAGAAACAGGTGAAGTGCAAGCAACGGGTGGAGGGGTGACAGATCAGGGGGGTAAGTAAATCTGGAGGAGAGGTAAGGGGTATTTAGTAAGAAATTGGGGAGTGGGAGGCGGAGAGGCAGGTGATGCCGGTAGGGAAGTTAGGGGCCATGAGGAGGGATGGGCCTAGGAAGGTAGGTGACATGGTGCATGTGCAAGGGGATCAGTGAGTGGGGTGTGGCAGAGTAGACATATGAGCAGAAGGACAAGTGAGAAAAGGACACTTGGGGGTTTGGTGAAAGGATGGACAGTGACGATTGGATAAGTGAGGGATTGGGTAAGGGAGGTGAATAGAGGAAGAGGGGAGATGATGGGCAGGCAAATGGGAAGACAGGTGAGAGGTTGGACAGGCAAGGGAATAGGCGAGGGACTGGACAGGTGAGACAGAAGGGGGATGGACAGGTGGGTTAAGGATCAGGGGATGATTAGGTGAAAGGATGGAAGGTAGGACAGGTAAGGAAACAGGTAAGAAGATAGACTGGTGAAGCGGGGACAGGAGAATGGATGGACAGGTGAGACGGGTGAGGGGATGGATAGGTGAGGAGACGGGTGAAGGGAGGAAATAGGTGACTGGATGGACAGGTGAATGGGGTACAGGTGAGGAGATTGGCTGGTCAGTGGGGCAGATGGGTGGGGTCACTAGTGAAGGGGTGGGCAGGTGAGAGGCAGGCGGGCGGGCAGGGTGAGTCCCCATCCTCCTCACATCCCCCCTCACCTGGGCACCAGGATTGCCCGGGGCTACCAGGGCTCCCCGGACCTGCGGCTGACGTGGCTGCAGAACATGGCGGGGAAGCACGCGGAGCTGGGCAACCACGCGGAGGCCGCACAGTGCATGGTGCACGCGGCCGCGCTGGTGGCGGAGTACCTGGCCCTGCTGGAGGACAGCCGCTACCTGCCCGTCGGCTGCGTTTCCTTCCAAGTGAGTGGTCGGAGGGGGAGGGGTGGTGGGCCAGGGTGGGGGTGGCACCTGTGCGGCAGGGACCAGGCCCTGACACCACTTCCCACCCCAGAACATCTCGTCCAACGT